GCATTCGCGAATGCGTTTACCGAGCCTCCTCTCGCAATCGCGTTTTCGGCACGGCGTGTACTCCTCGTGGCTCCGAATCGACGATGGACGAATCGCGGATTGTATCGTGAAACACTCCGGGAAAGACACCGACCTCTCCGCCGGCACGAGACGCACTGACTATACTGGCTGTAGCGTGAAACCGGTGGAATGAAATGTGCGCCGAGAAACGCCGACCGACGAACGGCGCGCCGAGCGCGCATGCGCGAGACGGTAACAGGTTTGAAACGGCCAGTGCGACCAACTGCGGCGAGAAGAGCACCTTATCTTGTGCCAATCGAATGATAAGAATGTACCAGAATTACAAGTCGATAATATCGCACGGTTATCATCTGTCCGTAAGGCCGGAATCAGACTACGCAATAAAAATAGAATTACCAAGAACTGCACAATATTATTCTATATATACAGGGTGACCGGTGATTACCATAATAATGGTTGTACCAACTTTTTACCATAAGAGCATGACTTACCGACTGCACTTGTAATTTACTAAGGGCGTTTATAGTGGATCGTTAAATTCCTGATATAATGTATACTCTCTGTTAATACATTATGAGTCGATTAAATTTTCCTTATATTTATTTATTTAACTAAATTATTATTGTTCGTTTTTCAATTTTATATATTCGACCTTTGGCTCGATAGCCTTGTCTTATTTAAAACAAAATGATCTAAACAACAACATATTATCATGAAAAATATTATTCGGATTAATTACTTAAAGTTTTGTGTATTTATCATAACATCGTTCCGCAACATTTATTGTATATTTACAAACACAATCTTTAATTTATCTCACTATAAGGCAGTTAATAAGTTCACTTTTTCTACACAATTGTACATCCACCGGATATTAAACATATAGAAGTAATGGATGCGCACAGGTCTATCTTTCGCTCCAGAAAGTTGTCTCTTTATCTTACCAAAAAAATTCACTCACACATTCCTCTATATCTTTATTCTTTGTGAACAGTTTTTCCACAAATAAAAAATATTGGTTACTCAATCATTTGAACTTGAGTCGTTACTTAAATTGCATAAAAGGTTTTCCTGATTGAGAGATAGGCAATTTAATAACTTAATCAATAATATTACACCCATTCAATATATAGTTTTTCACAATTTTCTAATCCTTCCTTGTCAAATGTTTCTTCTGGTGATCTTACATCTAATCAACTTATTTATAAACTACCATATCATACACACCAATAAGATTCATATATAAAACCATCTGATATAAATTTCAACTATTCACAGTCTTCCCTTACTTCTGTCAAAATCAACTGGTTTAAAAATTTAACTTCCATACAGTTTGCTGAACATATTCAATAGGTCTGTTCTTTATTGCAATTAGGTGACAACTTTTCCTTTCCTTCTTTCAATTACAAAAGGACTTTACTGGAATTCATTAAAAATATATTGAAAACAATATAAATAAATTACAAATTAGTTTAAGAGTAGAGGCTAGAAACCGTGTCATATCTATCTTAAATAATTTATCTTCTCATTTTTATAAACCAGACACGATTTCAAGAGTTTTCTCTTTAAATCTTTGAAATCTTTAAAATTGTTTCTTAAGAACCATATAATAATATATATATTCTATTGACTAGAGCTGACAAGGGCAATGTGACAGTTGCGATGGATTTTACATTTTTTAATAATTTTGTTTTGTAATACGTGATCGCGTTAACGAATAAAAAGTAAATATGTTGTTCGAAAATCGACGCGTTAATATTAGACGGTTAGTGAATGAAAGCAGGGATTGTTTTGATGTGGAAGGGCGGACGCGAGTCACCCATCCCCCCTCACCCGGCTCACCGATAAACCAAGCAGTTATCATTTAAATACATATTACTATAAATACTCGAGCATTGTGCGACATTTGGACCGCGCGCGGTAAGGTGAGGGGACAGCGGAAGGCGGAGGCGATTCGAAAATCGGCCGAAAAGTTGCATACACTTTATGTATGTATGTTCACTTTGTACTGGCACCTTTAATTAATAATATAATATATCAGTTACTTTTCATGGAAATATATCATTATTAGATAAAAAGGTTTAAATTTTTGAGTATCCTTTTTTTAAAATGATTTACGTTATGTATACACCAGCAAAAGAAAAATGATCCTTTAAGTAATTGTTGCTTTCTAATTCTTTAGAACCAACATTTTTTTTTTTATTTATATCATTCTATCTTGTACCACTAAACGTGTGAGAATGGTAAAAATAATTCGATTTTTTAAGCAGGAATACAACGACAATGGCAAAATTTTATTTGGTTGATTTAGTGGGATCAGAACGTAGTAAAAAGACTCAAACAACTGGAGAACGGTTTAAAGAAGGCGTAAATATAAATAAAGGATTATTCGCTTTGGGAAATGTTATTTCGCAACTAGGTGATGGTGTGCCTCATATATCGGATACAGAGACAGTAAACTTACTTAGATTGTTGCAAGATCAAATTGTTTTCGGATTTGTGGGTGATTGATCCACAGAATCTTACTTCAGTCAGATATTAGAGACATATATCTACTGATGTATAGGACCTACAATTTAACGCCGAATCCGAACGGCGCTGATGATCATGCATAGAGATCTTTTGATCACCAGGTTGCGCCATTTTTTGGCTCATTAAACGCGAAAAATTGCGTTTGGGCGCACGTGGGATTGAACTCGGGTCTACAGATCGCGAGTCAATTGTACCGAGTGGTGAGCCACTCGACGCCACAATAATACTTTACGTTGTCTTTATAATTTGACGCATTAATCCTTCGTGTAATTTCAAAGCGTAATGTTGCTTTAATAATATTTAAAACATTAATTTTACACATGCTATTACGAATGCAAATCACTAGTTTATAAGACATTTCGTATTAATTTGGAACAGTTACTTCACTCGAAGAATTTTCAAAACAAATTCTTGAGCGACATAATTTAACATTGCCTGCGTTCAATAGAATAATCAGCTCTGCAAGCTTTGTAACAGTCTCTACGTGATTAGAACTTGCCCTTTGGTTTCCTTGGATTCAAATATATGTATAATATCTAATATTATTAGAGAAAATACGTCAGTTGCAAAGCTGTTTTATTCATTTGAACGTAGCCACTGCAATATGACCGACATTCTAAAATCATAAAAATAATAATACGATACTGATGTTTCTAAGTCAAACCGTATCTTATTGTTTTTTTCTTAAAGCGAATCGCCTAGCTGTATACTAATTTCACCTCCTCCATATTATATAATTTCAATTAATTCCATGACTGTTTACTTTAAAAAAAACATATAATACGGGTTTAATTTTCCTAAAGAACATCTTTGCGAAATTAGACGATCTCGGAGACTATAATATAAAGTATTTTGTCAATTCTCGTATGAATTCCTCATATATGTATATATGCATGTATATGTTACATATAAACAATTCTGAAAAATTATCTTAAAAATTCAGAGAAAAATTTTCGCTCGGGAGTTAGAATAACGCCAGGAATAAACAATTTCCAATTCATAATAAATTATTCTTGAAACAAAGTGAAAAATATTCTTAGTTGAAAATAAATTTTACATTAATTAAAGGATAGAGTAGCATCCGTTCAAAATTAAATATGCTCGTATTAAGATTACTTTTTCTTCAATGACGCCTTTCATCAACTTAATTAAAGGAAAATATTTTAATTCAAATACGATAGTGTTCCTATACATATAAACATTAGTGATTTAATTAGATTTAATCTATTATAAATTCTAAACACATATATATCGATATATTTCCATAACCTTACCTAACACTTGTAAACTTTCCTTTCGACGTTGAAGTGTCATCGAGTCAACGTCGATTCCATTGTCATTTCTCACTGGGTATGGTTTTCCAAACATGGCCTTACTTTGATTTTGGCTGTACGCCCCACAATACTTTAATCACAAATAAAGTTTAATCTTAATCTCGGTTTAACTTGCTCTTCATCTTTTTCTTCTTTTTAAAACTAGAAAAAAACGAAGAAATTATCAAGATCTATAATATTTACAAAAATTGAAATAAAAGCCATATTAAACTTGCAGTATTGATATTTTTACTTGTATGCTGCGTGCGTGCGTGCGTGCGTGCGTGCGTGTGTGTGTGTGTGTGTGTGTGTGTTTGTATCAGATTCTTATGAAAATCGGCACTAAATTTTACTTTAAAGTCTCTGATATTGCCTACATTGCAATCCAGGAATGCGTTTTTTAGGGAAATACATCAATATGTACTTTTTCGCTAAAGCGAACCGTGCGGCTGTTTTATGAATTTAATTTTCTCTATATGTTGTGATTTACATTAATTCCACGGTCAAACTGTTTGTTTTAAGAAATTACAGAAAATACTGGTTTTTTAATTTTCCTAAAGAACATTTTTTGCAGAATTTGACCTATTTCAGGAACTATAATGCAAAATGTCTTATCGGTTCCCGAAAGAAACATTTACATATGTATGTATAGGCAAACCGTACCAAAAGTACACATACCAAGACCTTGGATCAGTCGTTCTTAAGAATTTGACGTGCTTATTTGTCAGCAAACAATTTGAAATTTAACCGTATGCAAAATTCTTGATCTGTACGACTATCATATACTGCATCTAGTGTACAAAAGTTATTGAATCATTAATACAACTAGCAACTATCCAACGTCAGAGAGAGAGAGGTGACATTTTAATCTTAAATATCTCTTATTTTATAACCAATTTTAACTTTGAAATAGCTATTTATTACTTCCTTATTACTTTTCGTGGGAACTGTCGATTTAATATAACTTTATTATTAAATATTTACTCTCATTATGACTTTAGATGGAAAAGTATGAAGTTAAAAGTGTATAAATGTGTACAGAACGCTTAAATTACGAAAGTAATATAAGGAACATTACTGACAAGTGAATTGTATAATATCCCTAGAGTGAGTTTAAGAGTTGAACCTGAAAAGATGAATCCCAATGATGAAACGAATAACGACACAAAAGGATACGAACACCAACAGTGCGGTAAGACTATATAGATCCTAATAAATGCTATCGTGAATGTAGCATAATACAAAATCATATGTGATGATAAACGTTAATGGGAAACGATGTGTATAAAATTCGCATACACTTCATAGACGATCATATATTATATACTTATGCTTTTTATACACCGTTCACATACAAGTCTTATAACAAATTTACGGTAACATTCTTAGTTTTATTAATAAACTTGGGCATTACAATTTGCTCAACGAAATTGAAGCATTACATAATCCATCATGCAAAAATAGGCAAATTTCGATATATTATAGAACATCGTTGTCACTAAATATCGTGTCGAGATTCTTACAAAAGCACTTTAAAGCTTTAAATCTGTATTTCTCAGATCGATATTTCAGAAACGGTGTTACTGATATTTTATAAAATTACACAAATAAATAAACAAAGGTGCAATATAGGTTTCAAAATTTGTAACGAAACTTGCGAAAATCCCCATCGCGAATATAAAACTGTGCACTGATGCGATTTATAGACGAAGGATAAATCTTAACAAGTAAATAGCCATCCTTTCGAGCTCTGTACTATTTTATTTCACCGAATTATTTAATGTTAATGTAAAAATAAACTTCTTTGATTCAAAGTTGATTAAATTAGTGAAAAAGGTCGTACAGCATTCGAAGGAAAAGAAAATTATGTATAAAAGATTCAGTCTTTCTGAAGCTGTGAAATACATTTGTGTATAATTTTCAAATGCAACTACAAAAATTACGTATTAAATTTTAAGTTTTGATGCATCATCATTTTTAAGAAACATTATCAAAACAGTTTTTGAAATGATGGTGAGAAGAGTAAAGATTTAAAATAATTATTTAACATTTCGGTACGATGATTTTCGATGAAGTTATTCTATTTCGAAATATCCTTACTTAAAATATCCTTATTTAAAAATTACAAGATAATTATCGTCTTTATGTGAATTTCATAACAAGAACTTTTCCTAATGTTAAGATTCGAACTTCCCGTCTACTTCGAATGAGAATAATAGAGACATACGTATTGAAATTAGACCACACATATGCGACGAGTGTGGTAAAGGATTTAAGCATAAACGCAATTTGCAACGTCATGAGTTAATTCATAAAAACGAAAAACCTTATCAATGCAAACTTTGTGAAGATAAATTTAGGTGAGAATTAAAGTGAAGAACATAAGTTACGGTAATTACGTGGCACTTCAGTATCAATGATTAAATTAACTGGTAGAAGGTAATAAATAATGCAAGTGCAACGATCATTTTCCAGACGAAAAGAAACTCTAAATCAGCACGTACTTACAAAGCATATCAATGATGATCGTTACAAGGATAATATGGACCAATATAATGTAGGTGTGTCGTACAAATGCGGAACGTGTAACAAAGGGTTTAAAAGCAAATCGCAGTTGATTGTTCATGAGAGAACTCATAATGGCGAAAAACCTTATGAATGCAAACATTGTGGGTTCAGATTTTCGTAAGTATTTAATTAAGAAACAAAAGTTAAACTAATTGTTTGGTTCCTCAATAATAATGCTTAACTTAAATGATAAAAAATAATAAATGTTGCAACGGTCATTTTGCAGTCAAAAAGGAAACCTAAGTAAGCACGTGATTGCAAAGCATAACAACGATGGTCGTTGCAAGGATAGTAAGGACAAATACGATGTAAGTGTGCCACACAAATGCGGAACGTGTAATAAAGAGTTTAAGGATAAATGGCATTTGCGTCGTCATGAAAAAATTCATAATGGCGAAAAAACATTTGAATGCGAATATTGTGAGAAAATATTTTTGTAAGTATTTAATTAAGTAACACAAGCCAATCTAATTGTTTGGTTCTTCAACGTAAATGCTTAAATTAATTGGTAAAAGATAATAATTATTGCAACGATCATTTTGCAGGCAAAAAGGAAACCTAAGTAAGCACGTGATTGCAAAGCATAACAATGATGGTTGTTGCAAGGATAGTAAGGACAAATATGATGTAAGTGTGCCACACAAATGCGGAACGTGTAATAAAGAGTTTAAGGATAAATGGCATTTGCGTCGTCATGAAAAAATTCATAATGGCGAAAAAACATTCGAATGCGAATATTGTGGGAAAATATTTTCGTAAGTATTTAATTAAGTAACACAAGTTAAACTAATTGTTTGGTTCTTCAACGTAAATGCTTAAATTAATTGGTAAAAAATAATAATAATTATTGCAACGATCATTTTGCAGGCAAAAAGGAAACCTAAGTAAGCACGTGATTGCAAAGCATAACAATGATGGTTGTTGCAAGGATAGTAAGGACAAATACGATGTAATAAGTGTACCACACAAATGCGGAACGTGTAATAAAGAATTTAAAAGGAAATCGCAGTTGATTGTTCATGAGAGAACTCATAAATACGAACAACATTATCTTTGTGAGATTTGTGGAGAGATGTTTAGGTGGGTACTTCACTGAATATTAAGAATCAAAGGAATTTTTTGATAATTCGTTCTATATACAAAAATTAAGTTCTAACAAATAATAATTACTTCTACGGAAATTTTATAGACGGATTTCATCTTTTAAACGGCATAAAATGTCGATACATTCAAATAACTTTAAATGTTATTACGTATCTGAGGAATATGTATGAAAATATTTCACATACTGAATGATAACTGACTTATATCATATACATTCGGAGCACAGAGATAAAAGACAACATCCTTACGAGGTATATGTTTCAAAATTATCATGTTTCCAATTCATTCTCACTTAATCGTCTTTATACTTACGTTCCTATAAATGAAATATGAATATATTAAATTTCCGTGTGTATACTAAATTCTCTGCTACCAGATCACGACAGAAACAGGACTGTAAATATAACGTTAGAATTCCGTGTCTCACTGTTCTTTGTTCAAAATCTTTAAAAAGAATCAAGGTTTATGTATACAGACGAATTTAGGTCATTCATAAAATAATTATTTAATTCATTATGGTGTATTCCTATTTGCCTTCATATTTCGGTACATATGTAATCATATAAATAATGTTTTAACCGGTACGGACGGTTGTACAGAATGTAAGAGATTCGTGTTCGACTCTCGGCCGAGATATTATCTTTCACCATAAGAATGAATTATTTACAGATTTTAAATTATAACTATGAAATAGTACAATGACGACTGAATATGTTTTGCCTCTTTTGCGATTTTGCAAAACGAAGAAATAATTAGCATATGGTTACAAAACTTTTCGTAGTTTACCGATTCTTTACTATCGAAATTTCAACATTTAAATTACATGCACTCTCCAGGAATAATAATTTATTTTTTAGGGTCATTCATGTTATCCATAATGCCATATAGTAACTAACCGCAACAGACTGATCCTATATCTAATCCCGATAGCATATGTCATTATTTATTTCTACTATTTGATTTTACTATAATATTTTACGGATATTAAAAACTAATTAGCAAAATTATTTGCTAAAACTTTTTTGTTGCTGTATTCTGGATTTAAATTGCGATAATACAATAATGTTGCGGTAATGTTATGTTGATGTTAAGTATGTATGGTAGCATTTTTAAGATATTAAGACAAAAATACGAAAGATATTATGTAAACAGACATTTAGCAACCATAGTATAGTCTCACAGTTTTAAGAAATGACAATTATTTTCGAAATAATTTATAATAATTTATTTGAATTGTTAATTATATTTATATGTGATTCTAGGATAACTTTGCGCCAATAGGGATATTAACGTGTAAAGTTGATGTAGCGTTTAAAGTACGAAACAATCCTGCTCTAACTGTTCATTTCTTATATATTTAATGAAATTAATCCCTGCAATACGTCATCGCTTGATTTAATGTAGTACATTTTGGCAAATTAAAGGCTATGTGACTTTCGTGAAATTATTGGAGAGATGTACTAAAAGACTTTTTTCAATCATTTTGACTGTGACGTTTCAGGGTTTAGCAATTCGATGTTGTGCTTTTATATGTGTCACTTATACATATACTTTATAAAATTGTTACGATTTTATTTATAGCGCTAAAATTAATAGCGATATTTTAATTTAAAACGAGATTGCAATGATGAAACGTGAAACTGTGGTTATGAAAAATTGTTATTCGATTTTCGAACCTTAGATTAAGATGAAGAATGGAATTGTGTGAATGAATCGATATTCAAAAACATATGTCAGTAGATTTTGTAAATCGATGGACAATGGCAATGTATCACGTTAGTCTGAGTCTATCTATGTTCGTTTTTTTCGCGTGCGTATTTTGGCAATTATATTATATGCATAGATAACAGTTTTATATCAGTGACGGATATTGAGGGATATGTTATCGTAACCGAATTCATGAAAGGGTTAAATATTTAGTGACGTTGTGTATAATAAAAGTCGCTATAGTGTATATTAAAAATATGTATCGTAATCGCGCTTATGGGGCTATAATCATTATTTGTGCTTCTTTAATATCTGATAGATCCTTGCTGAAAGAGTAGCATCACCGAGTTAAACGATGGCATCTTTTAATTAATGTTAGTAGAACTCATGTAACGGTTTGTTCCGAAACATTACCATATTTGTAAAAATCATGCGATTAAAAAATTATGTGGTATTACAATAATAATATACATGTTGTAACACTATATGTAGGATTTTAGATAACAGATTCATGTAATTACAAGAAAAGATACTTGATAACGTATATTTTTTTCTGATTATTTGACTGAATTACATAATTTTGTTATGTCATATCGTTACACGACTTTTTCGTATGGTAATGAAATTCAATATTGTTGCATGAAATGTACGTGATACGGTCTTAAGAGCGGGTGAGCATCAAGACGAAACGTACTTTAGACGTATGGAATAGTATTAAATAATTGAGAAATAGAATAGAAAGTATATATTATTTGAAATAGAATAAGATAATTCCAATTAATAATCAACGATGTATTCACTGACCTTAGGTTTTTGTTTTTATTAACTAATTGTTTGTATAAATTATTGGATATATTTTCATGCATTTCACACCATTGTATTTTTTAATATATAGATTACGGCAACAGCTGTTGAAGATAATAATGTATGTATTTGACGCAATTCTGTAATTTTGTATATGTTTTAGGAAAAATTGTGTATATTTTCTGAATTGAATAAGATAATACAATTTTCTTTCACGTGTAATATAGAACACTGCATAAATTTTTAAAGTAAATCTTTTACTTATACATGTACTAATTCTTTAATAAAATAATAATTTAAACGTTGCCTCTATAGTTTGTTACATTTATATATAGATATATTATTTGTATTTCTTAATATAATATTTAACACATTAATTTCACACGTGTCATTATATAAGATTCCAAATCACTAATTAATAAGACATTTCGTATTAATTTGGAAAAATTGCCTCCTTCAAAAAATATTCGAAACATATTAAAGGTTTTTTTTACCTACATCGTTTTATCTAACGAACCGTTTTATAGCTGCCAATTTGAAGACTGTGAATATAGACGTTTTTCGCATTGTCAGATATATCCTCTTCCTTTGGTGTATATATATATATATATATATATATATATATATATATAGAGAGAGAGAGAGAGAGAGAGAGAAAGAGAGAGATACATACAAGTTATAAAAACACAGATTAAGAACACTTCTTTCGGCTGTTCAACTTATTTTTTATATTTTTCGATCTTAAAAGAAGTGGAAAGAGATGAGAAAAAAGTAAAACTTCGGTTAAGAGTTAGCCATGAGTTGTGAAACAGGTCCTAATCAACATAGTTTAACATTAACTACGTTCAATAAAATAAAAATCTTTACAACCGTTGTAATAGTTTCTATTATGATTTGCTCAAAGGTTTCCTTGGATCCGAATATATAATCTGATGATATTAAAGAATAAATCTATTGCAAGCTTGCTTTTTCTGTTGTAGCCACTGCAGTATGACCCATATTCCATAATTTTTAAAATAATAATACCGATAATAATATCTCATCTATTCCTATGTCACATTAGGGATGTAAAGTATAAGTTGCGTTCAGCAGACTCGACAGTTTAGTGAACGCTCATTATACCATTGATGCGTTCTTCTAAATAAAAAAAAACTGATTGAATGATCTAAAAGTATACACCAGTAATTTCGAGCTCTCACCGAACTGGTGAGTCTGCTGAACAAAGCCATTGTTGGTCCACCTAACAATACACTATACTAGTACAAGTACATACATAGCATATAAAACAGCTTATCATCGACACCATGTGGTTAAATTATAAACGTAGTAAGTAAACAGCGGATATTCTATTTGTTAATTTCTTTATTTTCTTTTCTATTTCTTTCGTTGTAATTTTAGATATCAAACAACAGAAACAATCTTCACTAAGGAAATATTTACATAAAATGTAATAAAATTTCGTATATATCTAATAGTACATCGATATTTTTATTTGGTTGTGTGCAACGTTGCTCTTAGATAATTAAAAATTATCTTGATAATAATAAGATAAATCATACAAAAATGTATCTTGGTTAAGATAAAGATGATTAATTTTACTAATAACCTATTTAATTAACTTGGCTAAAAAATAAAAGTTAAAAAAAATTATCTAAATAACTTTTAAGATAATTTTATTTTTAAGTAACTATTAGATAATAAAACGATTTAGAATACAAAAAATGCGATTTCATATTTTTATATATCTATATTTTTTAAGAACAAAAGTTTTTGAATATTTCATCTGATAAACAATTTCTTCGTGCGAATGAATATATATGTTGTCTACAACTAAAGAGACGCTCTACTGGTGATGGCAATGATGTGTTACACATAAAAATAATTTATTAGACGAATGGATACAAATTAAAAATATCTACTTCCTTAGATTTATTATTTAAATACGAAAGTACTTCTGTATACCTTTAAAGGACTGGCATCGCAATATCAGTTTTTTTGTCTATAGAAGGTAAAAAAATCTACATCAATACTACAATACTACTAGAAGTTAATTTCTTATTATACTATTGTACAAACTTAAAAAGTTTGAAAAAGATAACATTTATTTATTTAAGATAAGATAAAGATAATCTATATTCTTAACAATCTAGATAAATGTAAGATGAAACCATATCTTCATCTAGATGATAATCTAGAAAATTTTATCGCGCACGCGAGATAACGAAAAACTATGGTTGTGATTGTGCGTGCGTGTGGCGTGTGTTTAAATATTAACGGTTCTTTCGAAAATTGGCGTAACATTTTGCTCTAAGAACTATACCTTTAAATGAAAGTACCTATTAAAACTTCATTTGTAATAGAATCGTCTACTATAAATGAAGTTGTAATCGGTACGATAGAAAGAGTAGCATGACTAAATAAAAAATTTATTATGACATATCAAGAGACAAATGATATAAATATATTAAGAAAATAATACATGAAGAAAAAGAAACATGATTCACTTGATAAAGGATTATTATATAAAATTGTACTATATTTTCATCAAATTAGATTATTACACATAACAAGTAATCATATACGCTACGATACATTTTGCAATAAGTGAGAGATTAAATTAGAGTTTCTACTTCGACATCAAATATATCTGCGTCATAATAATTACATCTTCTTTTTATCCTCACATAAATATACAATTCATAATTATATCTTCATATAAATTTCTAATCAATAAATGATTACATCATTATACGTTAACAAAAAGAGATAACTTTGTATGAGACTCCATCAACGAGAGATCAATTATATCAGACTTAAAATAAAACTAATAGCTGCATAATAATTGTGATATCAAAACTACGTGACAAAGATGTTCGCACTTGCGTATAAAGTTTAAAAATACGATAAAGCTAACGAGATTTTACTCGTTAAAGATTCATTATCGTTCTGGACGGAATAGCAGGTGCGTTTAATCAGAATGTCAGTAATGAGTATGCAATGACAAACCGTTAAAATTAGATTCTCATTAGATTACGTTTTGTCATTCAGTCAAGAAATATTCGCTTTAATGACATATCGAGCTTTCTATCAGTTTATGTTATTTCATTTCAATAAAAACCTATTGCAAATTAATATTCATATAATCTAGCATGTAATATCAAATACGATGCATTCGAATACAAAAAAAAGAATAAAATGAAAAAATCCTATTTACACATAAGATTGTAAAAAATATATCAGTGCTCACAAAGAAAGAACTTGCACGCTTTTAAAAATGCGTTGAACTCAATCGTTCTTGTTAGCGCCCCCGTATTAATTATTCAATATTAAGGCACGCAAATGACAACACTTTATCTATTTCTTAGTTTTCTTTTAGAGAGATTATCTTCTATAATTAATTCACATTTACTCATACGTGAATCGTAGAAACCAACAAGTGTAACAATTTTAATGTTAACTTTAATTTTTTCTGCGCGAAATCGTGAGATTAAAATTTAAATGCCCTTGTTTATTTTTATTGCACAGTTATCAAAATATTATATAAAAGCTTATCATTTATCGTAAAATTTTGGCAAATAAAAATCCAACAGAATGTTAAATTATTCCTACATATATATTTTAGCCTACATATATGTGATGGTGCTGTGACACAAGGGGCAGGCATTTATGTTAACAACGTCGCGTTCCGTTGCGACGTGATGTCGGCAAACAGTGCAGATCCACGCGATGCTGAGATCCATCAGCGGTTTGCCCGAGACGATGCAAGCGGGGAATCTGGTTGAGCAATTCGGGCATACGGTGCACCAGTCAGGTACCAGAGTTTCGCAGTTAACGCATTCCGCCTTGTTATTACGAGAATCCTTCGGAGTATGCTTCGTGAAGATATCCACTGCCAGTTCCTCATACTCCTCTTTCTTTGCTTCCGAGATCGTCTCAAGCCCTTCCAATTTTATAAAAGCCTTTGAACAGGTAGCGAATGCGTGATTAACAGCGCTTGATAGCGCCAATAGACAGCATATGTCTTCTATTTCCAATATGTCCTCGTAGTCTCTCAGTCGCAGAGCGGTCTTCATCGCGGCATCGAAACTGCCGTCGTACAACTGTCTATGTGCGAGCAGAAGGAAGTGATACGCCTCGGCGCCTCGCCAGGCGTTTTCTATAATCTTGGTGTCCTCGTTGCTTTCAGTAAGACCCATGACGACATTGCTGCGGCCGCCTTTTATTGCAGGAACGCTGTTGATGTGGTCCTCAATCAATAAAGCTGCGAGAACGTATATCTTCTTTACGCGCAGAGGATGTGATTTGGACTTAGCTTGTTCCTCGGCGAGATGAAACAATAATTTAGCCGCTTCCAAGTTGTAGTTAGCCTTCTTGTACAATTCGATTGCCTGCAGATGTTTACCGTTGGATAATAGATGATTGGCGTATTTATTCAACAGCTCGCCGATCTGTGCCATCTTGTAGGTCTTCGCCAGGTCGACAGCTTGGTCCCAGTGATTTAGACGCACGCATGTATCTACGGCTAACTTTACGTCGCCGTATTTAATGTAAGCTGCCACAGCCTGCGGGCACATTCCCACCGAAGCCAACATTCTCGCTACAGTCTTCAAGATGGGACTCTTGTCCGATAATTGATCTACAGTTGCCGCCAGCTGAATGAAATCTTCTAATTTATAATAGCACTGGATGAGTCTCTCCAAATTTCTACCTTTTTCATAGTACTCTTTCGCGCTCTCCCAGTTCTGTCTCTCGGCGAAGTGATCGCCAATCTTGTTGTACGCGTGCTCCATTTGTTTATCCGAACCGCCAATGCCCATCTTCATCAATTGCACAACCCGAAAATAATCACCCAGCTTTTGGCGCAGTGTAACTGCCAGGTCTCTTCTGTCCATGTCTAGATAAAGTTTCTCGGCCTCGTCATAGTTACCAAGAAACGCCGCGATTTCGGCCTTCTTTAACTGATCGTTGTGCACATTCTGCAAACGCTTGATAAATTGTATACCCAAATAATCCGTACAGCGTACCATGGCATTCTCCGCAGTTTCCAAGTCCAGCTTCGTCAACGCCGATTCGGCTAATAAACGCCAAAGACGGGGATGCGGATTGTCCTGAATGAAATTGTTGGCCTCCTTCAGACCCACTTTAGCCAATAGCTCCCTTGTGTCTCTTAGAGATTTTACTTCCAAATCTACAATCAAGTCTTTTCGAGTGTCATCGGACTTCAGCATGAGATCGTCGAGTAGAACGCAACGTATTTCCAAGTCTTGAAAAGAACAAATATATCCGGAACAAGCTATAGGCTCTTCGGGATCTAATCCTCTCAGAACATACATCCTAGTTTTCTCCATGATTGCCAGAAGCGAGGGATTATCCTGTGCCCAGCACATAGCCCATACATCCTTTCTCTCAAATTTAGATATATCCTCACTCGTGTCTCCGTCTCGCAAATCGGATGGTTTTTGCGGATCCAGATCCAGCATAGTGAGTATACCGTTAGCGTCCAGGATGGAAACGCGTGTGGAGTCGCAGTTAATAGCGATTTTGTGCAGTCTGCACACAGTATTGTATCGATTCACGAGCGTTATCTGTGGCAGGGAGTACCGCTGAATCATCCCCGAGTCCCGGCCAACCAGAAGAACCTTTTCGGTGGCGTAGACACAGCAAATCGGATCCATGGTGACCTTCATATTAATGGGGGTCTCAAACGCGCCGTCCTTGTCCAAATCCTGGATGACCTCGGTGACGCCGGTCGGCGTCTCGTCCACGTGATAAATCTTGTACTTGCGCATCCTGCTCGGGTGCAATGTCGAGTTACGGGGCGTGCGAAAGTTCCAAATCAAGAAATTGTTCTTAGACGCAGCCACGACCATATTGGACGTCATGGTAAGGTACAAAGGTTCCAGATCCAAGAACTTAGAGTCTATTGGTGTGGCGATCGTGTTGCAAACGAGAAGGGCGAATTGCTCAGTGGCTTGGACGGGATCGTTTCTCACAGAGAGCACGCAATGCTCCCCGTACGAGGTTATCGATAGCAAAGATCTCACATACTTGGTGCAACACGTGTTACTGCTTATGTTCCAGAATGTCACGCAAGTGCCATCCTTACCGATTTTCTCGTTCGTAAAAACGACCGTGTTGCTGAAGTACGTCCACTTGTAATCTAGACGGATATTTGCAAAGTATATGTGAGAGTCAACGGACAATGCGACTCGGAGGGAACCTTTCTCCCAAGTGCAACACGTTACTTCCCGTCCTGGTATCTTCAGGGTCCTCATATGTTCACCGAACGGCGTGTAAAACTGTATAACATTCATGTCCTTTGTTTCCCCATTACTGAGCAACGGCATCATGCCTGTTATCGCCAAGAGAGAGCCGCAGCTATTCCAATTGCACCATGAAGTAGTCACCCCGGACTCTATCATAACTGGATTGTCATCACTAGTATCTCGCAACAGTAGAATCCTACCATTGCGATAACAAATAGCTAGAGTAGGACAGTCCATGGCAACGTAACCGTTTCTTCCGTTGTACCACTGTAGTGCCACTATGATTTGAAACTGAGAGGTATTCTGTGAGGGAATATTCAATTTTGTCAGAAATACGCCTTGATTATTGTACAGATGAAGTTCTCCATTTTTCAAACCAAACAAAAGTAATTTTCCATCTGGAGACCACTGTACAGCAGAGAGAGATACGTTTTTCAATTCCTTACCCCAGATTCTGTTGCCATCGACAGATCCAACAATCACAGCTCCGTCTTCATAGACTATGCATATCTTTTGACCATCAGAGCTCCATGCCATACCTTTCACCACAGACTTGTTGCGATTGTTTATCATTTCTTCATACCACGAGCCCTTATACAGCATCCAAACAATAATGACTCCATTCTGGTCACTTGATGTCAGCTTCTGATGCTCTTCGTTCCATGTCACTACTTGAACGTGTCCATTGTGACCCTCCAGGGGCTGATTCATGCTCAGATTGCTTGTTGCAGCCAAGCCTTGAGATTTCCCACCGCTGTGTGATCCATTGACATTGGAGTCTACTCGAAGAACTTTCAAGAGACCATCTTCTCCTCCCACTGCAATATATCCGTCCTTCTGATTCCATGCTATGCAGTTTAATCGAAAGTTATTTGGTATAGAGATCTTCTTGCTCAGATAAACAAACATTGTTGGTTTATCTTAGTCTTCCTGGAGTTTTTTCACAAAATTGGTGTAAAACTCTGAAATCAAAGTATTTTATTTATAATACAGCTTGCTATATATTTAAATGAAAACATGTTTATATGTATACTTAGCATATATCTGTTTATTAAAAACGTTTTTCCAAATATATGTATTTTAAATAGAACTTGCTATTATGTTTAAAGAAAAATACATTTACATTTATATTTAGCATATCTATTTATAAAAAAACGTCTTTTTAGATATTTTCACGTTTCTTTTTTTATAAACGTTTAACTCTTTATTAAGGAATCTTCTTAGTGTGATAGGTTGAAAAAATCCAAAGTTCTTAATAGTAAAGAAGACGTTTGAGTGCAGTAAAACAGAAAAGATATGTATATAAAATAACATTAAAACAATGAATTCGTAAAAATATCGTTAATAAACAGATGTGCTAATTATGTGTCAACGTTTACCTACAAGTAAAGGTTTTTCTGAAAATGAATATAAACGAATAAACATTTCACATTTATACATTCTAAGTAAGATATCGTTTATTTGATTCTTGACGAATCTGACGTTCTATTACCGTAAAAGTACGTGGATTTGTCACAACCACATAACATCACATAAATCGATATCAAAAATATGTCATTATTTTCGTGTTATTAACAGCATAGATGAATGACGTTATATTAATATAACGTTACTAGTACGTCATCGACTGGTCATTTATTTGACGTCAATAAGAATAATGTTGTAAATACACGCGTCATAAATAAATGAAATTATTAATTGGTTAAAAAGATGCGACGTTATTATTATATTTTAAATAAGTCAATAATTAAAAATGACTAATTATCAACATCAAAATAACTACAGCTTGTCACCTGGGATATCTTAAAAAAAAAAAACGGAATAAAATCAGAGCCCTAATTTATAATCAATTGTAATTTTGATAGAATATTTTAAGGACTTTTTAACCAAACAAGCGATTTACGAACAAAAATTATAAGAATCGGAACACACATTCACATGAAGTACCAATTTTCTTTCATACTGTTTCGTATAATATAGTTTCAAAAAAACAAGTATCGTGTTTTATGGCGGAAAGTAACATTCGAAGCGAACTGTCAAAGCTGTCGCGTTTTTAATATAAACACACTTGTCAAGTTTACCATAGTAACGAAAATGATGTACATAGCAACGTGCGAAATGCCATCTATATATTCATAACGAGGCGGATTATCATCGACCGGACAATGCGATTTCTGCTTTCAAGGTGATATCGACCAATCAAATACCGTACGCTGGACGGGCGATGAATTTCGCTTTTTTAGAGTATAATTGCATGAAAAATTTTTTTTTAATTTACGAAATTACGGGAGAATTAGGGGGAGAAAACGTTATATTAAACATTTATCAAATTTTGAGAGTTACATAAAAATTTTGAGAAAAATTACGTTTTATCTGTTGTGTGTGGAAATATTTTAATATAGTTACGTAGTTTATAATATACACATTTTGTATATATAGAGGCGCTACATCGTAAATCTTATTTCAAGTAAAAATTTAACTGCGAAATAATGCACTAAATGCAGCTGTAGAAGTGCAGAGAACAAATCTAACGTTCATGCAATTTCATCCGTTCATGGCGCCGCGCCGCTGCGCAAATTCACTCGACGTTAACTGACATCGATTGCTGTCAAGTCAGCTGAAAGGAAGCTTGCAAACACATATCGATGTGATCTCACAGTTGTTGAAAATGTGATTTTTTATTCATGAAATCGTGGAGGAACGGAACATAAAATATGCGTTACGGCTCTTCCGCGAGACAAGGATTCCGAGGCATAGTTCTGAGACATGGAGAGTTTCGATAGGTTAGGAATTTCATTCGTAAGTATTACTTAGGTATTACTAATTTTTTCGCAATAAGAATTATTATTTTCAGATTTTAACGTTAAAAGATCGATATAAGATGCCAAAAGAGTATCAAATAATTATTAAATTATCAATTAATTTAATTCGTGGTAGTACTGTGATAGTTTATTAGAGTTGCGTTTCAAGATCGACAATTGTTCGGCGCGCAGTTTAGAAAGACTACATATATCAATATATAAATTCACACGAAATTATATATAAGCAACAAAGATCCGACTAGACTGTTATAGGCTTCGTATTCGTATTGGTTATTTTGTTACATTGACAGTCCTTTAAAATTTAATATTGATTACTAATTTTGTTTTAATCTCTCTCTCTCTCTCTCTCTCTCTCTCTCTCTCTCTATATATATATATATATATATATATATATATATATATATATACATTTATATAATTTAATATTTCATTTGAATGTAAGATTAACTCTATTTACAATTTGGATCTTTTTTGGCACAAGTGAAATTTCTTCTCATTTGTTTTTTTAGTTTGCTCAAATTTTAATTTGAAGATTTTAAATAATAATTAATAAGAAAGTGGTTTTTAACATTAAAAATTTTAACTATAAAGGAGCATAAAAGCACAGTACAGATTGTTTTTTCTGATATTTAATATATTACAAAAGTTTTCTATTTTACTTAATTTAGATGTTTTCGGCCAATATCTGACCATCTTCAGTAAATATATAAATAATCCTATTGGTTACACACATTTAAAAAATAAAATTTGCAGTTATACATTTAGTTAAAATTCATGCTCTTTTTCATCTTGTTCATGAGCACCATGATATGTAGTTAAAGAATCGATAAAAAGTTTCAAATTGTGAAAATTTTAATCAAAATTCTGCTATATATGTTTCAAGATTATGTTTAAGTGGAATATTTATGTATTGTTTATATTAAATTTATAAATTCTTTTATGTAGAGAAACAATAAAAAATATATAAATTATAAATTGAATAATACAGAACAAAGTATCTAATTAATTTTTATGATTGTTAATATATCTGACTTTAATATTGATATAAAATGAAGTAATCTATACAAACAAGATAGAAATTTTAATTTAACATAGAGAGAGAGAGAGTTAAATTTATTATATTATTTTAATATAACATTTAATATAAACAAAGAACATAGTTGATCCATACATTTAAATTTACATAAATGATATGTAAGATATAGTTTACATTAATATATATATATATATATATATATATATATATATATATATGTAAATCATGTTATATATAAACACAGTTCTGGTTTTAATTTGAGTTAAAAAACTATTTGTAACAGAGATGTTGAAAAGTAATAGTGAATTTTTTCTTTACCTAATCAATGAAATAGATAATAAAAAATGACATTTTTTACAGGTACAGATTAGCTCATATTCGAATGGACATGTGCTTCATTAGATGAAATCATATGAGTAAAATGATGCATTATAGTTCATGGATTCAATCAATAGCAGATCATCAATGTTGCATGTCATATATTGATATGATGCCATCCTTCCACAATCACGATCACGAGCGTCATCAATTGACCGAGGAGGAAACTGAACAGACTGGCGAGGAGGTACATGACACAATGACGCCTGCTACTTCTGGCGAACGTAGTTCTAGCGCAGACCTATTTAGATTGGAGTTTGCTGCTACTCAATGGTCTAAATTAGTTTCCAATGCAGAAGGTCTATTTACGAAGCTCATGTCAAGTAACGTTCTGCCGCACACTGATCAAGATCAAATTGAGCAGTGGTTGTGCATGAAACAGGAGTACGAGGAATGTATAGCCAGCGATGAGAGTACCAGTTTACAGGGATATACGGAGAATGCCAGAAGATCGTTGGAACGCATTGAAGAAGTAACCGAGACTGATGAAAAAACGGACGAATCTGCGAATCAAACGAAACTTAAACTTAATTGCATCTCAAGTTCAGACAGCGAAATATCTGATGATGATGACGATGATGAAGATGAGGAAGAGGAGGACGAGGAGGAAGACGATGATCAAAGCGATGTGAGTTCGGAAAATCCAGATTTTTTGGAGAAACTAGATGAATGCATGAATAAATTTAAGTTAGAGACGGATAGAATTGTCGATTCTACAAAGGATGATTTCAGAGAAGCAAACATTGAGATTATATCTCCAGTAACGAGATCCGTAAATAATAATTACGTACCAGTATCTCGTCCTTTACCAATAAGAAATCCAAATTCCAGAAGAAACTCAATGTTGCCTGGTTCCGATATGTGTAATGAAGTATTAGTTTTTAATGACAGCCTGAAACCTTGCCAAAATCAAATCCTTGAAAATCATATCTCAGAATATATCAATCCTTATATGTTGGATAATCGCGAGTCAGAAGTAAATATTAATGATAATATTATTAACGACAATTTTGTCGTGATTCAAAACGATAATTCACCCGATCTATTACTTGAAGTCCTCAAGAACACGGAAATACCCGAACCTATTAAAGAGTTAAAAGCGCTAACGCTGAATAACGAGGCGAAACAAACGCAAGTGAAAAAAATTCAATCAAATTTGGATGGAGCGCATAAACGTATCGAAGAACTGCAAACGACAATTAAGATTAAACAACGTTTCATAGCAGATATGATAAAGAATTCCGATACACGCACCAGCGCAAAGCAAAAATTCCAACGTAAACGTAGTAAACTGGAAGAGGAGTATTACAACACGAGAACACAATTGGCACAAGCAGAGAATGCACATATGTACAAGGATCTTGATGAAAAAATACACAAAAAAGAAATTGAATTAATGAAAAATATAGCAATACATTATGAGAAACGAATGATGGATATAGATATGATAAAGCAAATAGCCGGTGATTCCGCGAAGAAAGTTTTAGAGTTGGAAGCCTCGTTAAATACATCGAAGAAGCAAATGGATAAATTAAAGCGGCAATTGAAGCGAGAAGAGGAACGTAAGAAGCAGTTGGAGGACGAGCTGGCTAAGGATCAACAAAAGATTCGTGAACTTGAGGAGAAATATAATCTAACTGCGTCCAAATTGAAGGAAATGCAATCGGAGAGCG